GTGTGTGGGGGGTCACGGCCGGGGGCTGGGTCCCCCCCAGCCGCTCCTCCAAGGGGACACCAGCCCATTGTCTGCTTTACGAGACCCAACAACAGCATTACGCTGTGTTGCTGGGGTTCTCCCTTTCCACCAGACTGCTGTGACCGCTGGACGTGGAGGTGACAAGGACCCTCTGTGTGGTGGCCAGCTGGCCAAGGGATGGTGGGCAGTCTGGAGCAGAGGGGCTGATTGTGGGAATGGGGGCTCAGGTGGTCCGGCAGCCCTGTTGCTCCCTCCTGTGCCCCATGTCTAGGTGAGGTGCCGTGATGGGGCCTTGCAGAAGGAGCAGGGGCTGACGGGAGAATCCCCAAGGCACAAGGCAGGCAGAGCAAGCCTGACTTCCCTGGCTTCCCGGGGAAATGTGGCCATTTCCCTATCACTGTCTTGGCTGTGGGATGGAGAAGGGGCACGGATTCTGCTGCCGCTGCCTGCAGAACAACTGCGCCCCAGCCAATGCTCTGTCGCCTTCCTTGCAGGGAGAGCCTGGCCCCATGGCTCCCAAAGGTGAGTGTCCTCTCTCCTCCCTGTGGGACCCACTCTTGCTCCAGGAAGGCTGGAGACTGGGAAGGCCCTTGCTTGACGTGCAGCGTGGGGGCAAAGGAAGGAGCAAAGCCCCTCTCCCTGGGGCACTGACGGGCCTGTGGCACTGGGGGACGGAGCCTGCTGTCCCCAAGGCTTCCTGCCAGTGCCAGCACACACCAACCTGCCTGAGCACAGCCGTTGCACCTGCAGGATGTTTTTCCAGGCCTGCACCTACATCCCCTTCCTCACCTGCCAGGCTGGGAGCCGGAAGGTGTGCTCTCCCTGGGGCTGCGAGCCTGAACTGAGCAGTGTTTTGGCAGGGGAGGAAATAGGGTGTCGGGGGAGAGGAGCCTCCTCGAGCCTTTCCCCAGTGCCAATTCCTCAGCGCCCAGCTCACACATCACCCAGGACAGCATCCCTGAAGGGTCACTGTGCCGCAGCCTGTCCCTCAAGGTGCAGGCGCACTCTGCCCCATCTCTTCCTCACCCCACCTAACCCGAGCTTCTCATGCAGGGCAGACACCCCGCAAGAAGCGTGCTCAGCTGAAGGCAGATTCTGAGGCTCTGACCCCCAAGGTAAGAAGCTTTGTCGTTGTGGCTCCTGCTGGGTCTAGAGGCTTTCCCGTTCCCCTTGCTCAGGCTGCTCCCAAATTCATGGAGGCGCTTCTACCTGGAGTTTCTCACCATCTGGCTGTCCAAGCATACTTCTGCTGCTAAGCTCTCTCTCTCTGATGTCCACCCAGGTCACCACACGCGCCTCGAAACGCCGCCCCAAGGCTGCAGCGAAACCCCCAAAGTCAGCTGAGGAAGAGGAGGTGGCTGACGGGCCGAGGAAGGGACGTGCTCGTGGGAGGAGGAAAGCGACTGCTGCTCCGGCCTTGTCTGAGCCTGAGGCGCTGGGCAAAGCCAAAAGAAGCCGCCGGACATCTGCGCGCAGGGGCAGAGGTGAGGCTGGCAGTTCCTGCGGCTTTCAAACGCACAGGTGGGGGCTGCGGGAGTGCTCCTTCTTGTCAGGGGGCCTAAGGGGGTGCCAAAAGGCAGCAGAGGAGCCAGCAGGGCTTCACAGGGCAGAACCAGCCACCCCCTCACCCTCTGACTTCTCATTTCCCTCTCCATCTTCCAGGTGCAGCCCCTGCTGTGTGAGTGCCGCACGCTGCCCTCCTCCTGAGGGGCATTTTAACAGCCACAGGAGGAGCTCAGGGAGGGCCTGGGTTAGTGCTGGGGAGAAATGGGGCTGCTCTGTACCTGGGCTCACCCCTGCTTGCTACTGCTGCATCCTGCCAGTATGGGAAGGAGAAGCTGGGCTTGGTGATGGGGCTGATTTTTTTTCAGCATCCTCCTGCTGTCCCCAGGCATTTGAGGGGGATCAGGGCCACGGACCATGCATTGTACTGGACTCTGACCCTTCCCTCTGCCTAAAAGTGGATTCCCTCTTTCTTCCCCCCTTCCCTTTCTGGCTGCTGCCTGGATCACTGTTTTTAGCTGACTAATAAAGGATTTTGTGTAGAAATCACCATGCATGCCATTTTGTGCTAAGGATAACCCCTCTGTGCCCAGCCTCTTCCCCAGCTGGGCTGAAGCAGGCTTCCTCTCTACCTCGCCCCCCACCCCCCCAAATAAAGGTAAGCTCTGTCTCCCCAGTCCCAGGAGTGAGATCCTGCTGAGGAGGAGACAAGAGAGCAGCAGCTACAACACAGCCCCTATGAGGAGGAGGCAGATCAGTGCAGTTACCTGGAAATAAGTTAAGAAAACAGGCTGGAGCTTGTTTTCCTGTAATTGTGTTTACTTGTGTTCCCCTTCTGCAAGGGCAGTGCAAGAGGCAGGCGAAGGGAGAGGGGAATGACTGTTATGTGTCTTTACGCTCCCTGCATAGGGTCTGGACAACGTGAAAGCTGAGACACAGGAGCCACTATGGAAAGCTGCTGCTCCCCAAACCCCCCAGGACTGGAGCAGAGCCCATGTGGGGCCAGCCAGCCTGTCCCACAACCTTACCCACGCTTCAGCTAGCTAGGAACTCGCTCGGGCCCTCGTTCCCGGGTTAGACAGGGGGCAACTGTCCTCCTTTCCTGAAGGACGTGTTTGTTCTTGAGTGTTGCTCTCCGATGGCTGGGTGGGGGGCAAGGGGGAGACTCCGCCCTTCCCTGGAACCACTGCCTCCTTGCACAGCTCCTGAGGTCGGGGAAGCCTCAGGCTGTGATTTGATCTCATGGTGTTGGTCCAGGTTGCCGCAGCATTAGCAAGGGCGAGGGATGGTGTCACTCAAGACCAAGAGGATGGAGAGCACGCGGAAGGGTGTGAAGGAAAGCCTCATGCCCTGCTGCTCCAGCGGCAGGCGGCCCTGCACAGCTGGCCGCTCCAGGAGGTCGCAGCTGGGGAAGAAAGCAGCAGGTGAGGCTGATGTGACTGATCTCCATCCCCACACGTGCCCAGCCCTCCAGCGTGGACTTACAGCATCGCCTCCTTAACGGGGAGGGAGGTCTGGAGCCAGGCAACAACGGTGCTGCCATGCGCCTCATACAGCCGAACCACCACAGCTTCAGGTCTGTCCTCAGCCTTTGGGGGACAGTGCAGATGGGAGTTCAGGAAAATGAGACAGGCACATCCTATCCTACCCCTCGGGGTACAGCCCAACCCCAGCCATCGCGGCTGAGCGGCTCTGCCCCTGTGCACGTGTGTTCTGGACCTGTCGTGGAGCAGCACTAACGACTGTGGATACTACCACAATCTCTGGTGCAAGTGCCTGCCTGGGCAGGCAGAGAGGGGTGCTAACCCCCTTGTCCTCACCTAGCAGGGCATGCAAACCAGAGGGATTGCTGTTTCTGCTCAGCTGAGCCTACCCACCACCCAGTGTGGAGGAAAGAGCAAGCAATGCTTAAAAACAGCAGCTTAACCCATCTGCCCTCCCCACTTCTGCCCTGGGGACTTGCCTGCTTGACAGTCTCCAGCACAATCGCAGGTGAGCTGACAGAAAAGGCGCTCCAGGCTGGGCACTGGGCAGAGCTGGTGGGGACGGTGTGGAGCGGGAAATTCAAGTTGTAGGCATGTTGGATCACACCGGCATCCTGGAAGGAGCCTGCAACACAAGAACCTCTAGCCAGCCTCTACACATGCACAGCCAGAGACCTGCTTGCCCCAGGGCTCACTGGAGCATCCTCCACCCTGTGTGTCCCCACAGGGCCCAGCTCTGCCCATCACTCACCCAGGTGAGGCATCACGGCATAGGTGAACTGGTGGTGCGTGATGTCTGCTGTGGCATCAGGGGACTTGGGTGCTCTCAGCCTAAAGCAACAAGAGGTAGGCAAGACTGGTGTCTCCGCAGCACCCTCTGTCACCCAGGGCAGAGCCAGAGGTGCACGGTGACAAGACAACTGCTTTCCCCTACTACCTCAAGGCTGGGCCCTGAGGTGGAAGCCAACACGCTGCTGGTTTCTGGCAACAGCAAACAGACCCTGCGCATAGTCCCAAAGCTAAAAAATTAGAAGGGTGTTTTCCTGTGAAATGTGGCTGATGGACTCACACTGAAATATGTAGAGTTTCTCTTAGCTTTGTATGCATCCATAACATTGCTGTGCCTTCCCTCCCCTTAAGCCTCCCCTCCTGGGGTATGTTTTGGCCAGTAACAGAAAAACTACTTCGTGCAAATGTGGCTCTGATCTCTCCTGAATTATCTATCAGCATAACTCATATGAATTACATTGTCTTAGTCAATTGTAATCAAGTCAGCCAAAAGTTCTCAGGTGACAGCCAGCCACTTAGACTAATATCAGACTATTTCCTTGTTAACTATGATCATTTAGGACCAAGTGTTGCCTTGACTTCCAAGAGACAGCTCAGAAGGCAAAGTGACTGGTGCAGATCCACCCTCACCCCAACCCTAACTCACAGCGAGAGGCTAAGGACGTTCCTGTGGGCTGACGCCCCATATTTGCAGTCGTTCAGCAGTGCCACCCCAAAGCCATGCTCGGACAGATCCAGCCACTTGTGAGCCCACACCTGCAGGAGGTACCAAGGGACATATTCATTACACAGAGCTACGACCTGGGAACAAAAGCAGCCCCACCACAGGAGGAGCATCTCGGCCCTGGGACCAGACCACCTTTCCTCTTACCTCGAATCGAGCCCAGTCCCAGGATGTGTTCCAGTGCGTTGGCCGCTGCAGGTGTCCAAACTGGATCTCGTAGGTGGCGTTTGTGCTCCGGGCCTGCACAGGGAACTCCACCTTCAGGAACTTGTGAGCCTCCTTCCACTCAACCTAAATGCAGTAGCAGAAGGGTATCACCACGGGGGGCTGACAGGCACTTATCCTTCCCTGGTGTGCAGCAGCCAGCTCGCACCCAGGCCAGACCAGGTAACAATAAAACCACACTAGAGACTGAACACATGAGCTGGTGGGTCTCTCTTCCACCCTTGTCCCTCGGGACCCCCACCCTCGGGCTGACTTCCCCTAAGGCATACGAGCAGGCAGCGGGGGGCTCCAGGGAAGGAAACAGGAGAGGGAACGTAACTGAGACGTAAGGTTCAGCTCCCCAGAGCCCTGCCTGCACAGCACAGATGTTCGTATCATGTGGCAGCCACTGGCCAAACCTGGGTCAGGAAGCGGAGGTACGGGCATGTGGCATCCAGGATGATCTCCTGGGTTAAGGTGCTGCTTTCCCCGATCTGCAGAGAGAAACTTGCGCTTGCCCGCAGGCCCCCAGCCAGGGTGATTTCCAGAGGCTTCAGCAGCGTTGTCACTGGCTTCCTAGAGAAAGGGATAAAGGCAGAGCTGGTTTCAGCCTGGCAGATCCAGGTTCCCAAATCTCAGTTCAGCCTCCCACACAGCAGGCACTCACTTCTCCAGAGTGAATTCTCTGTTACAGCTAGGACTGACAGGGAGGCAAGAACCTCAGAGCAAAGTCAAAATCCAAGTGCTGCATGCACTGCTCCTCTACCTGGTTTCCAAGTGATAATCCATCACATCCCAGGCATCCCAGTATAGGGGAACATCATCAAAGAGTGCAAACTGGTTGGCATAGCAGCCATCTGGGACTGACTCTCTGGAACAAAGTGGAACAGAGAAACAGTAGCATAAGAAGAACTGGCAGTGGAGAGAGGCATACGGAGAGAAGACCTGAGAGAGGTTCCGGGAGCCCAGTTCCAGTAACTGGGCAACAGACATACCTCTCAGAGTCCACCAGTTGAAGCGAGGTCAGGTGCCCCATCATGTCCAGGCAGACTGCAATCACCCCATTCTCCATAGCAATGGAGCCGTCCTCCTTGGGGGAACGGACAGAAACAGATTTCACAGACCTACACCGGTGGGAGCTGAGTGCCCCAGTTGCAAACCTAGAGTGTGGACTTGCTGTGTGCTGGATTCCCTAGATTTCTCCCCAATCAACCTTTGATGCAGGGTACACCGATCTGAGAACAAATGCCATTGTGCTTACCTGCTTCCTCACTGCCACAGGCTGAGGGGACAGCAATGGCTCCCTCACTATAGCATAGCCCATGCTGGGGACTGTCACCAGAGCTGGAAAGCAAAGAGGTTCTGTTCCAGCATCTGCCCTAGACCTAACTCTAAGTCACACTGTGCCACCCCGCTGCTCTCATGTCAGACCTACCAACTCCTTTCATACTCCCCTCTTCTTCGTCTGTAGTTCAGGGACAACTTGAAGTGGGATAAAGTCCCAAGGAGCCATCTGACAAGTCAGTAAACCCTCCCCAGGGCAGGGAGAGGCAGAGTATTTCTTTGCTAGCTGTCTATGCCCCTGTAAGAAATTCTGATACATGAGTTATTCCCCGGTTAGACATACCTAAAGTCTCTGTTCCATCTGGCCCAGTCCTGGAGATCACCTCAGTCCGTTCCCAGGGCAAAGTGTTCAACACAAGGGTGCTTTCGGCGCTCCCTGCCTTGGGCTGCAGCAGTTCCCCACATAACGACTGCACAGCTTCCTCCTGCAGCCGAGCACCAGCCCTGCGGATCTCTGAGCAACAAAAAGGCTTGAGTTGGATCCGGCCAGGCTGTTTCTCATATCTGAGAGAGTTTCTGGCACTCCCGTGCAATGTACACATACTTTAGGTACTTCCAAGCTACAATTACTAATTATCATTAATTATTATTATCAATTAGTAAATAATTAAAATTATTCTTAACTTTGTTATTA